TGACTGTATGCTCAAATCCACATTCCCGCCTACTCCTGAGAACCTTTCACCCCTTTGCTTAACAAAAATATACCCACCTCTGCTTTAAAAATATTCAAGCACTCTGCTTCTACCACGTTTTCAGGGAGAGAGTTCCAAAGACTCTGAAAGACAAAAAAATCTTTGTCTCTGTTTTAGATTTGGGAAACCTGATGTTTAAACATTGACAGATTCTGCCATAGGAGGAAAAATCCTCCCCACACCGACTCTACGTAAGACCCCTAAGGATCTAATATGCTTCAATCAGGTCAACGCTTACTTTACTAAACTCCAGTGGATATAAGCCTAGCTTGTCCAACCTTTCCTCATAAGACAACCTACCCTCACTCTCTTTCACTGACTTCCTTGTCCTCACACTCACTCATTCACACACACACACACACATACAAACACACACACACACACACACACACACACACACACACACACACACACTCTCACTGACTCACTGAGCCTCACTCACTCATTGTCTCTGGCTTGCTGACTCAGACTCACTCATTCAGTATCTCTCACTCAATTATTACTCCACGACAAACTAATACACTCCACTCCCCCATCTAGACTGCCACCTTGAGAGGGCCAGCACCTGCATGAGTAGAGTTCCTCACCTCCTTCAAACTTCCTCCTGATAACAAGTTTCTTTCCCTCACATCCAGCCGGAAACTCAGAGTATCTTTCCCTTGCACCTGCAGGCATCCCATCCTTTTCAGTCTATACTCTACCCTACCCCACCCACAGATTTACAGTCACCTCCCCCTCACATGCTTAGCATTGTTGGAAATCTCTCACGTACATCTCAGATTTTGCACACATTGTCAATTAGTCAATTGTATTGCACTCACTGGGCTGATGTTTCTCAAGGCTGTGTGGATCTGACATTGTGCTGAGAGCCAGAAGCAACACCACTTGAGACAACTGTGACACTCTCAGCGGAATTTTCAGTTGTCCTGCAACTAAATAATTGTCTGTGGTGCTCTCACCCCTTTTATGGACAAGGATCCGTTTCCAAAATACGACAATTATTTGGTGGGCTGAGAGCTCAGCTGTCTCAGCAGTGCCACTGAGAGCATTAATGGGTGGTGGGTTTGATAGTATTGTGGTCTTTGCTACCATGGGCACCTCTGTGGGCCATAGAATGCCCAGTTAGGAGGATCCCCTTCCCAAGACCTCAGGCAGGCTCACAGGGTTCACCAGGTAGTCTCTCTATATGATGAAGTAACCACTAACATCTGCTACAATGACAACTCTAGCAGAAAGAGGCCTTGATTATATCAGAGATAGTAGGAACTGCCGATGCTGGAGAATCTGAGATAACAAGGTGTATAGCTGGATGAACACAGCAGGCCAAGCAGCGTCAGAGGAGCAGGAAAGCTGACGTTTCAGGTCTGGACCCTTCTTCAGAAATGATTATATCAATTGCCATTTATTTCTGGTGTTTTTAATGGGAGGTGGGCATCTCAGAATTGGCCAGGTTTGGTGCTGATCCCATATTTCTCTTGAGGAGATGGTCCACTTTCTTGAACCACTGCAGGTACACACATCATTGTATAAATGAGGGAGTTCTAGGATTCTGACCTAGTGACAATGAAGAATTGTCATAATTCTAAATTAGGATGGCTTGTGACTTGGAGGAAACTTTTAGCTGGTTGTGTTACCAAACATCTGCTGCCCTCATGCTAGGTGTTAGAGGTTTGGAAGGTGCTATGCAAGATTCAGAAAGTTGCTGCAATGCATCTTCTGGATGGTACACACTGTTGTCACTCTGTGTCAGTGACAAAGGAGGTGAAAGTTTAGAGTGGTGATTGGGGTGTTTCTTAAGTGGGCTGCTTTGTCCTGGATCATGTCATGTTATTGGAGCTGAGCTCACCCAGGCCAGTAAAGACCATTCCATCACACTCCTGAGTTATGCATTGTCAATGGTGGACAGGCATTAAGCAGTCAGGAGATAACTTATTTGCAACAGAATTTCCAGCTTCAAACCTGCTGTTGTCGCCTTTGTATTTTTATGTCTGATTCCAGTTAAATTTGTGTTCAGTGGCAATCCTAGATACTTGAAAATGCTAAGTCTAAAAGAGATGGTTAGATTCTTCCATTGGAGATGGTTATTTCTGGTACTTGTGTGGTGAATGTGATGTCTATGAATTTCCAAAGACACTTGATCAAATGCTATATAACAGGCTTATGAGCAAAGTTGGAGGCGCTGTCGCAGAATGGATGTGAAATTGGTAACCGTCAAGAAAAGACAGTGGTAAATGGTTATTTTTCAGCTGAACAAAGGCTTATATTGTGGTTTTCTTAAGGGTTGGCGTGCAGAGCCTACTTTTCTTGATGTATGAATGAGCTAGAATTGTGCCTACAACACTTGGAAATATTGTGAACTGCAAGGAAGATAGTATTAATCTTCAAAAGGATGGAGACAGATTGTGGAATAGATGAGCAAGTCATAGATGAAATTTAGAGGGTGTACAAGCCAAAGAATCTGGGGCATATGTATACAAGTCATTGAAAATAGCCAGTCGGTTTGAAAGTGCAGTTAATAAAGTATACAGGATCCTGAGAATTATAAATAGCAGAATAGGGTGCAAAAGCCATGAAGTTATCATAAACCTGCACAAAGAACTGGTTCAACCTTGACTTCAGTATTTTATTCAGTTTTGGGCACTGCACTTTATGGAGGCTGTAAAGACTGCAGAGAAGGTACAGAAAAGATTTGCAAGAATGGTTCCAGGGTGAGGAGCTAGTTGAATAGATGGGAGAAACTTAAGACCGTTCTCCTTGGAGAAGGTTGGAAGAAGATTTAATAGAGGTGTTGAAAAATCATAAGGGGTTTGAACAGAGCAGAAAGGAGGAAATTGTTACCATTGATGGGAGAATCAAGCACGAGAAACTAAGTTAAGGTGATCGGCAAAAGAAGCAGTGTTGGCATGTGGAAAACCTTTTTTATAGTGAGTGGTTAGGGTCTAGAATATATTGTCTGTCAGTATGCTGGTGTCAGATTCAAACACTGCTTTCAAAAGAAATGTCATGTCCCAATCACAAATGCCAGTCGCCAGGCAATTCAATTCACTCCACATGATATTAAAGAACCACAGAATGCTCTGGATATAGCCAGGGCTATGGCCACTGACAGCATCCTGGCAGCTGTACTGAAGACTTGTGTGACAGAACTACCTGTGTTCGTAGTCAAACTGTTCTGGTGCAGATCCAAAACAGCCATCTACAAAGTAATATGGAAATATGCACAGGTATAACATACCTATCCACAAAAGACATGTCAAATCCAATCCAACCAACTACAGTCCCATTCTTCTACTCCCAATTTCAGTGAAGTGGTGGAAAGTGTCATCGACTTGATCAATTATCTGAGAGAAAATATTTGTAGTGGTATGTGAAAAAGAAAGAAATGAGACAAGGTGAGTTGCTCTTGCAAAAAGCAGGCATAGATACTGATGTACTTTGTGGTTTTCTACATGTTAGCACATATGTATGTAATATGTGTCACAAAGAGACTGGTTCTTCTTGGGACATATGTCTTGAAGTTTATTAACAACACTGTTTAAATGACTACAATGCCAAAGATTTGTACACATAGTCTGCACTCTGTGCTTACCGATGTTACTGTACATTTCATACACATAGCTGATTGGCTGAACACATTACACTGTCTCCATGATAGAGAGTGAATGACTGTAGGTACCTTTATATCAGAATGTCAGATGTTGTGCTGTCATGCAGCTATCTTAAAGGTCCAGCCTGTGTACCAAAGCCATAACAGAACATACACAACAGCTGGAATAGCCTTGTTGTATACCGTAGCCATTCAATGATTCCATCTTGATTCAAGCTTAGATTAAATTTATTTTCAATGAAGAATGCAGGACAGTATATCAGAAGAAGCACCAGGCACATCAAACATTGAGCTGCAGACATGGTGAAGTTAGAACACAAGATTACAAGCATGATCCAGATCACACAAAGTGATAGACAGAGCAAAATCATACCAAATGCAACAAATCAGATCCAAAATCTGCAGTGCTGCATATTCCATGATGGTGGACAATCAAGCCACTAACTGGAGGAGGAGGATCCACAAATATCCCCTTCTTTCTTGATGGGCAGCCCAGCAATCAGTGCCAAAAACCAGGCCTAAGTATTGGTAACCATCTTCAGCTAGGGTGCCCAGAGAATGAGTTATTGTGTCCTATTCCTGAAGTTCCCAACATCACAGATGCCAGTCATCAGCCAATTCAATTTCACACTCCTTCCCAAATTAAATCTGAGTAACCTAATTCCTGAGAGGTCTCAGCTCAATTCTTTGCTTTCTCCGGCATACTTTGATGACTACAGTATATTCACATACTTACACCGATAATCTGACGTGTATACCCTTCATGGACTGTGATAGGAACATATTATTAATTCGTTTTTCAATTTAGCTATTTGTTGCCTTCAGTACTTATTCCAATTGTTCGAACTACAGAAGGCACTGCATGTAGCCACTGACAACATCCTGGCAGCAGTAGTGAAGACTTTTGTGATAGAACTACCTGTGTTCATCACCAAGCTGTAATGGAACAGATCCAAACCTACAAGGTAATATGGAAATATGCACAGGTATGGCCTGTCCACAAAAAGCATGTTAAATCTAATCCAGCCAATTACAGTTCCATTGGTCCGTTCTCAATTATCAATGAAGTGATGGGAGGTGTCATTGATGGTGCTTATCAGGTGGCACTTACACAGCAATATCTTGTTCACGTGTGCTTAGTTTAGGTTCTGCAAGGGCTACTCAGCTCTTAAGCCTATTGCATACTGGGCCAAACACAAACGAGTCATTTTGAAGAGGTGAAGTAAGAGTCACTGGCTTTGACATTGGAGCCAGAAGTTGACTAAGCAAGAACATCAGGGGGCCCTGGCAAAATGGAATAAATCAGAAGTCCAAGAAAATGAATAGAGTAATGTTTCATCTATAAACAACTTTTTATTTTGTTCATTTTCTCTTATTATACAGTACAGCTCTTAACAAAATCCTAAATCACTGTATATTGAAAGATTTTTGCTTTAAAACATTCATATTGATTTTTTATTCAAATTTGTGAAACACTACATTAAAAAAATAAGTGATACATTTAAAACCAAAGCAAAACTACCACCATTGTCTTCCCCTTTGTTCTGAATATAAACATTACTTTAACGACTTATAAAAATTATATACATCACTAGATATCCCTGTATTTACATCCCAATGTTTCTTAGGGCACTTGATAGAAAACTAACGTATAATTAAAAACGTTATGAGCCACAAGTTTAGTGTAAACTTTCCATCCAATAGTATACAACCCCACACTGAATCTCCCGTTGAAGTTAATTGTGCTGCAAGCTTCTTGTGCAACTTTCAAATTAATGTAAATTTAGTTAACTGATTATTTTTTAATTAAGTGTCTACAATATCAAGCTTTTTTTTATATCTTCAAGTGGCTTAGGTATTTTTAATTCCCTATTCTCTTTCACAGTGTTAGATCATTTTATCCATGCTACCTCCTTGATTGACAGCCAGAATGGTCCAAGATGATATGTTGGACCAATAATCACTACTATCAATCTTGTTAACGTTTCACTTAAAATTTTTATGAATCACTCTCTCCCTACGACTCAACCAAATTGGTAAAATTCACTTCGGAGGATTTCTGGATGTCATTGTTAGTTAAGGACTGATCCAGTTCTCTCCCTTCCTTTCCTGAAAGTGATAACTCGCATTGGGATTTTGGATAATTGTGAACCTATACAATAAAAGCAAAAAGAGGGCTGGGACTATCGGTCATATGCATCATTACCCAAACAGGCAATTTCTAGAACATATCGCTTGCTTGTAATTAGAACGTGGCTGAGATTTCTTTCCTTTCTTGCAGTCAAACACGGCAATTACACAGATTGATATTTGTTGACCCAACATCAAACCTGAGACTTTTCTGAGCTGGATGTTTCAGCACTGTAGCTGGCAAGATCCCCCCGACTCCCCAAATTAAATCTGAATAACCTATTTCCTGAGAGGACTCAGCTCAATTCTTTGCATTTTCAGACAGAGACTTTGATGACTGCAGTATATTCATAACTTATACCCATAATCTAAAGTGTATTTCTTTCATGGACTGTGATAAGAGCATGTCATTAATTACCTTTTCAATTTCCCTATCTGTTGCCTTCAGTACTTATTCAAATTGCTCGAAAATAAAACAAACATGTGATTCCTTCCACTAATATTGCAAAACTTTCTTGCAATAAATTGCTGAGATACTTATGTTTAAAAGGACATCAGCAACATAAGGAAGAGTATACATTATCACCATTTTAAGTAATACAAAGATTATATGAGGAAATGTATTGAACTTTGTTCATTACTACATTTCTTTAATCAGGATGATGATCAGTTCAATTTCTTGATAAAACTTCATAGACTCTGGCGCTTGTGGAAACTAGTTGAATTGGTGCATTGGGATTTTAAAAAAGCTTCAAATCAGCCTTAATCCAAATCAGTTGATCAAAATTATTTCAAATAGATAATCTTAAAAATAACGAGCAGTCAACAGTCGGAGGCATGATGCTTACGCTCACCAGTTACAACGGTTGGGGTAACCAATGACAATTGTTGATTATAACATTTTTTCCACCATTACATTCAGAATTTTCTAAAAAATAATCTTCTTCACAATGTTGAGTACCAAAAACTAGTCTTTAAGGCAAATTGTTGACATTCAAATGGCGCTCATCAATGAAATTAACATTTAGCAATTCATATACATCAGGATAATAACAAGAGTAACAGTATATTTCAAGCTGGAATTCTTGGCACAAGATACAGAGGTAATGTTTGCTTCAATTTAATTCAGGGGTTAAACTGTGAATTAAGACATTTTTTTCTCAGCTTTAAGCATAATTGCTTCACAATAGTGGATCATTGTAGGAAAGCTACATTTAATTTTTTTTAACTAAAAAACGAGCATGAAGTTTTAGGATGCACAAGAAAGTCTGGATGATGCATACTGCTGTTCAAATCTCTTGACTGAATGCACAGTTGAAATGGGAAGCATTTCTAGTTCAGTTTATGCAGTTGTTCTGGATTTTACTATGTTAGGCATTACTGATATTGCAGGATAACATGAATTGTTTCTCTTGAATTTGTTAGTTGCATCTGATTTTGCCTACCTTCTCAACAGCTTTAAAGCATTGTTTTGTCCAACACAGAAGTGATTGTGAATGATGTCACAATAAGAATGTATATATACTAAATTTATTAATTTAGTAAGTAAATTCAGCCTCCTGTGCTCCTTCTGATGGAAGTGCAGGCCAAACACACGGCTACTGCTCTGTAGCGCTGATACTCAAAATGATGCTTCCATCAACGGAGGTTGATTTTGGAGGGACAGCAGGATGGCTAACCAAACTCTCTGGTTCATATCAAATTTCTCTCTTCACCAGGTGCTAACTTATTTAAAATAAACAAGTTAACCTTCTGTTGACTAATATGGAGAAGAATAAGATCAAAATGTTGTTTGTATAATTACATTGCTTTCAGTCACTTTGAAGCTATCATGCTGCACTAGGTGCTATCTTGTTCTTTAATTACAAAATGATTTAAGTACTGGAGTTAGGTAATTAAATTCCAAGTTTATTAAGTGTAGAATGAATATCCTTGTATTGCTGATGATTAATTTATTTCCTTAACATCCTAATCATTTCTAAACAATCTTTCAGGCATAGAAGGTTTTTTTTCAGGAAATAAAAAATAAATAATACAAAATTTTTTTTTGTAAATTAGAAGCTTTGCGTAATTGGTTTTCAGTTCACCAACTGTTTTTCTCCCAACAATATATCCTCTCAAATATGAAACTATTTCTCTTCTGTTTATGTGTTCGTATATAAGTATGTATGTGTGGGAATAATGGCAGTACTTTGTTCATTTGTACATTTTCAAAATCAGTCACACTCGTCTGGGCAACAGGATTTCGCCTAGTTCTGGTGTCTCTTCATGTGGAGAGCCAAGTGATCTGAACGTGAAAAGCAGCGGCCACAGGCAATGCATTTGAAGGGTTTTGCTCCTGTGTGCTTTCTGTAGTGTCTTGTGAGCTCATCAGAACGGGCAAAACGCCAATCACAAGCATCCCATGTACATTTGTATGGCTTCTCACCTGTAATTGAAACAAATGGATATGAATAAAGTGATTCTTGTACAGTCAAAGACATTTCAAAATATAAAGATCTCCTGAGAGGGGAACCATTTACCTAAACTTTAATTACCAAGTGAATTTCTCATGATACTTGCACTCAAACTGGTATTTCCAACTGTTTGTAACCAACTAAGTACTGACAAAAGCAGAATCCTGCCTGACGATTTTACTGATTGGCCTGAACTATTTTGATGCCTGAACTTTATTTGAAAATATAATGATGAAATATGCATGCTGTCAACACTTGTCCTGGCCAGACCTTTTAGCCAGACTTTAATAATTGCTGGTAAAGCTGCTTGCTGCCTGATACTAATGGGTAGACCATGCATATCTCAATAGCTTGTTACCTCAACATTTTCTTGAGACCCGATTTGTCTTTTTCAGGTTGGAAAAATGTAACTAGTGACTGTCGCAAGGATCAATACTATGTCCTCAATTATTTACAAACTGTATTAATGACTTGGAGGAGGTGGGGCAGTCTGTAATGTATCCAAATTTTCTGATGATACAAAAAGAGGTAGAGGGCATGTTCTGATGAGGACATAATGTGCAAGGGGATACAGATAGGTTGAGGGACCGAGCGAGCAAAAACTTGGTAGATGGCGTTTAATGTAGAAAAGTGTGAGGTTATGCACTTTTGTCGGTGGTAGCAAAAGACAGACATTTAAATGGACAGAGACTCCAAGAAAGTGCAGAGCAGAGACAGCAGCTCTTTGAAGGGTCGGTGAAGACTCGATGGGCTGTATGGCCTCTTTCTGCACTGTAGGGATTCTATGTGGAGAAGATGATTCTAATCATGGGGTAATTTCAAACTAAGGGACATAGCTTCAGAACAAGGGGACACTCAATTTATACTGAAATGGTAAGGTTTCTTTTCCCTTGGAGAGTAGTAGATGTCTGGAATTCTTGACCCCAGAGTTTTGTGGAAGCTAGATTAATGAAAGCATTTTAAGAGGCGGTAGATATTTAAAAAAAAAACTATCAAAAGAGTTGATGAACTGGCATGAAAAAGGATTTGAGGCCTGGGGTAGATCAATCATGATCTTGTTGAGTGCTGGGACAGGGTTGATAGGCTGAATGGCCTATGCCTGCTCCTATTTCTTACATTTGTATTGAGTCAAAGCAACCTGATTACGATATTAAACTTTAGGTTCCTGTCTGAAAGAGTTGGTTGCTTAGACAACTCAGGAAGAGGTCCTAAGGAACATGAGAGAGTGCAGGAATGGTACAGTAAGTATATTTCGGTAATTTTTTCACGTCATAATATCCAATTTCCACTGACTAGTGGGAGTTAAAATTGATGCTGTAATTATATAATAAAATGCTGTTTTTCTTTTTTAAAAAGGTACATTTAGAAATAGCTGAGATTTTACAAGTTGCCTTCCTTTAAAATCAAATAGCCAATACCACACCTCTACGATCAGTATTGTAACAGATTACGTGGAGGTACAGTCAAGGATAAGCTTGCCATTGCTATCAGGCAATATGCCAGCAGCAGGAAGGCAGTCAGACAAACTGCTGAACCATTTAAGGCCAATTACCCCTGAGTGTAACCAAATTTAGTAGTGGCTGATGGATTAAACATGACTTATATAGCTTTCCCATGGCTCCTGAAGTCCACCTAGTTGCCTCTGGAAGATGCGGCATTGGGAAAAGCGCAACCATGCCCTACTCTCTACCTCCCCCTATCCAACCCACCTTCACTCACCTACTCTTGAGATCCAGCACTGATCTTGGGACAGGGCCTCAATGTATTACAGCAGTGGCCATCACTTTTAGTGGTTTTACAGGTGACAGAGAGCTAACAGTCTCTGACTAGCCAGCAACTCTCAGGGATGGGATTTCTGACTTACTGGGGGCCTGTTTATGTGAAAAATCAGACATGGTCAGACTAAGTGTCTGATCAGGCACTTCGTTGCCTTAGGTCTCCCCATTGGAAGTGACGTGGATTTTCCATCAGTCTCCAACTGGCCTCTGGAACAAAATCAAGCCTGGTTCTTCACTTTCTTTCTTTTTCAATAAGAGAACAAATGATAGATCCTAATACTTATAACCAGAAAAGCACAAGCCAACATTTGTGCCTCGTCAGTAAGTGCTGGCAGCTTATCAGACATGTACAGCTAGCCTGATCCTGTCTTTTTCTAACATCCACCCGCATGTACTGCCACTAGGAGTGTAGTGATAGACATGAAATACCTAGCCAAATATTTCCTTTCTCCAACTAAATGCTGTTGAAAACAAATACAGAGGTTTTAACATTTCCTGGGCTGAGATCAATTAAGTTAGCAAAGTCAATGAATGTGGAATCTATTGTTCACTGCAAACAGTAATTTCTTCAAAGCCACTGGGGCTACTTGCAAAAAAGTATATAGTTCGGATATAACTTGAGGGAAGGATTTGTATTCAAATATTGTTTGTCCTATATACAAAACAGAGTCTAGCTATTCCATTGCATGAATTGACGGGCATAATTCAAGCAGCTTTCGAAGCAATCAAATTTCATGGGCATGCCATGGCCTAATGCCAGTCGACTGACGTCGGATGAAAATGTATGAAACGGTGTATGTCCAGAGCTAGTTTATGTTTCTGATAATACAACAATGCTTGCACAGTATTGCCAGGTATGCTACCTGACAGGAAAATTATAACAAAGCTCATTTAATTATGTGGATGAAAATAATAGGGCTTTTGAGATTCCATGTACTGATAAAACTGTAATATATACACCGTTTTGTTCACCATTAGAACGGGAGATAGAGTTAGATTGACAAGTGAGGTGGCAGCTGGGTAATTTAGTTCACACACTGTCCTATTGGATGAAACAGAAAATCATCTGTCAATGGCAGAATAAAAATGCCGGATTTATCAGTAACCTCCTGGATATATAAGCATTCTGCTGGGCAGACCAGAAGACCTTTAGTTTAAATCGTGATATGTGCAGCTGCCCACGGAACCATACCTCACCTAGTGTCAGCAGGAATGGAATCCTTTCATTCCGGAGTTAGGATGGAATCCATAAGGCCTGCTGGCCTCTGATTGGGCTGGCAGCTCTTGATGGTGTGACTTTCGCCCCCAGGGATTTGATTTTAAAGAAAGACTGTCTTCTGAACAGCCTGAAAAGAAGAAGATAGGACAGGGTAGACCTAGCCCTCAAGTGTTAGCTCAGGTGTCTCAGAACCTTTTGAACAAGGTAACAAGACACTTGCCCAAACCAGAAGATTCTACCCTAGATGTCAACTGGGTAGCTCTTTTGCCCAGATGAGGATGTAAGTTCAGGTACCACTCCAACACAAAATCCAGGCTGAAACTGATAGAGTGCTTTCACCTTCACTGGAGTGGTCATCTTTCAGTTTACCCATTAAGCCAAGGCTATTTTTGCTCTCTTTGAGGAATGTAGAAGATTCCATGGAGCCGTTTCAAAGAAGAGCAGAGCAGTTTCTCCTTTTATAAATTGCTCAATCAACATCCTTAAAAAATATTCAGGTCATTATTACAATGCTACCTGTGAGATTTGGTTGTGTACAAATTGGGCATTGTGTTTCCACAAAACACCAAGGACTAGAAAATCAGGGGTAGTTAATTAGCTGGAAAGCACTTTAAGACCTCATCACAGAACCCCACAGTGTGGAAACAGGCTGTTCGGCCCAACAAATCCACACTGACCCTCCCACTCAGCCCCATCCCCCTAAACCTGCATTTTCCAAAGCTAATGCACCTAACCTTGAAAAGTAGCATGGTCAATCCATCTAACCTGCATATTTTTGGACTGTGGCAGGAAACCAGAGCAGCTGGCAAAACCAATGCAGACATGGGGAGAATGTGCAAACTCTACACAGACAGTTGACCAAGGCCGGAATCGAACCCGGGTCCCTGGCATTGTGAGGCAGCAGTGCTAACCACTCAGCCACTGTGCTTCCTCAACAAGTTATGAACAACACTATTGAAATGACAGTCTTTATTTTGGAGAATGCTTACAAAAGTGTGTATGGTAAAAATAAAAAATTACATAAGTACTGGTTTGAACATAACTATCAACCTTGGACACCAAAGCAACAGCAAAATCTTAGAATCATAGAATGGATTACAGTCACAAGGAGGCTATTCATCCTACTGTGTTCATGCTGGCCCTCTGTAACTCAGCCAGTCCAACTACTCTGAACCTTTTCACACCAACTGCCTTGCAAATTTTCCCTGTTTAGATGCTTATCCAATTCCTTTCAGAAATTGAATGTATTTCCATCACACTCTCAGTGCAATCCAGGTTATAACCATTTTTGAGTCATAGATTCATACAGTACAGAAACAGACCCTTCAATCCAACTTGCCTGTGCCAACCAGAAATCCCAGTCTGACCTAATCGCATTTGCCAGCATTTGGCCCATATCCCTCTAAATCCTTCCTGTTCACATACCCATCCAGATGCCTTTTAAATGTTGTTATTGTACCAGCCTCCACCATTTCCACTGACAGCTCGTCTCAAACATGCTTCACCCTCTCCATGGAAAATGTTACTCCACAGATCCGTTTTTAAATCTTTCCCCTCGCACCTTAAACCTATGTTCGCTACTTTTGGACTTTCCCACCCAGGAAAAAGACCTTGGCTATTCACCATATCCATGCCCTTCGTGATTTTATAAACCTCTATAAGGTCATCCGTCAGCCTCTGATGCTCCAGGCGAAAAAAGCCCCAACCTAGTCTGCCTTTCTCTATGACTCAAATCTTCCAGTCTTGGCAACATCCTTGTAAATATTTTTTGCACCCTTTCAAGTTTAACAACATCCTTCTGTTTTTCCTCATGCCTCTGTTGTTCATTTGCTCCTCCTCTTAAATTGATGTCTTCTGGTTGTTGACTTTTCCACCAATAGGAATATTTTCTTTATATCTAGTCTCTGTCTAGACTCCTCATTATTTTGAGCAACTCTATCAAATATCCTCTCTCCTTCTGTTTTCTAAAGGAAAC